AGGAAACCTTCGAGGGCTTCAGATCATCGAACACCGAAAGGAAATGTATGATTTGTGGTTTACGCATTTCCCCTTCCATACGCTTCCGAGGCTTGCGCAGTGACTCCAAGAAGGTCGTTAGATACACAAGGCACTTCAACAATTATGATTCCATACGTTAGCCTGTCGAGCCTAGCTAGAGCTTGAGCGCGCGCCAAGCGCGAGCGATGGTCCAAATACCGTAGCACCCCGCAGATGCGGATAAGAGTGAGGGGGCGGTGGGGACGTCGAGATTCTGGAGAAGCCCGCCGCAGGCGCCAACATTTCACAAATTATACAAAGAGCCCGCTGCAGGCGCCTATTTTTTTTTTCGTTAAAGCAATGTGGGTCGGTCGCGGGTGGGTCGCAAATGGGTCGCGGGTGGGTCGCGGGTGGATCGTTGTTGGGTCGCGGGTGGGCGGGTGTAGAGGGCAGGAAATCCACCCCATCATAATCACCCCGACAAGCGAAGCCGTTGAGTAAACGCAAACAAGGAAGGAATCGAACAGGGCAGGGTTGCTTAGTAAACGCCCAGGGCCGTTTAGTAAACGTCAATTGTCGGGTCCCGGTATTTTTTCCTCCCTTGAGGGTGGGTCGCGGGGTGGGTCGCGGATAGGTCGCGGGGTGGGTCGCGGATGGGTCGCGGAGTGGGTCGCGGGTGGATCGCGGGGGTCGCGGGTGGGTCGCGGGTGGGTCGCGGGTGGGTCGCGGGTGGGTCGCGGGGGGGGGTCGCGGGGTGGGCCGCGGGGTGGGTCGCGGAGTGGGTCGCGGGATGGGTCGCGGGTGGGACGACGACAACCAACAACAGCAACACAACAACAACGCAACAAACAGAATTCTCACCACGAATTCCCTATTCATCCACGCACCCAGGGACAATGAATGACCGTTCGGCCCCCTTCATTTTGATTTACATATGTATATATATACATATATATATATATGTATGTCGTGCCATCTGGTTTGCTCTCCTTCCCCCGTGGTCCGTTTTTGTATGATGCAAGTTCCTGCGTGCGTATATATATATATAGAGTATCTATATATGTAACTATATTTGTATATATATATATATATATCAATGGATTGATGTTCTAATCGTCGCCGTACTAATTCAGGGTCCCGAGTGGGCCCTCTTCGGGGTATTTTGAGGCCATTTGCGTGCACCTGTTGAGGTTTCTGGGAAGGTTTTGCACTGGCCTCTCCGGATGCACATGCTGTGGCCGCCGGTAAGAATAGCTCGCAGGCCCTCCATCTGTTCCCAAACAGGCTTCCGCGGACGCGTGGCGCCAAGGCAAACTTGTGTCCTGCGACCGTGCTCGAAGTTTGGGCACCATGTATGGCCGCTCGGCAGGCCCGTCTTGGCCTTGGTGATGATGTTTTCCGCCGTGCTGGCCTGCTGCCCGAATGCCCAGTGTAAACGGCCTCGACAGGTTGTCTTGTGTCTTGACCGTTTGGGGGTAGGCGTTCCATCTTGCTTACCTGCTGCCCGATTGCCCAGGGCCGAGGGCCGCGAAGTGTAGTCTTGGCCGTGTGTGGGTAGGCCTTGCATCTTGTCTGCCCGATTGCCAATTCCACCTGGCCCACGCGTTGCCCGCGAAGCGCAGCCCTGGCCGCGGATTGGTCGGCCTTCCACCTCGCTTGACATCGAGGAAGAAACACGGTTTCTTGGATCTGCGCTGGACTCGTGAAGGGGGGGGTGGCAGGAGGAGCAGGAAGAGGGGGCGGGAAGAGGACGAGGAGGAGGACGACGACGAGGACGAGGACGACGAGGAAGAGGAGGAGGAGGAACAGGAGGAGGGGGGAAAGGAGGAGGAGGAGGAGTAGTAGCGGGAACAGGAACAGGAACAGCAGCAGAAACAGGAGGGACCAGGGACCAGCTAGGTCCATCGTCCGCGGTGAAACGGACTATGGCCGTGAGGTCGGCCCGGCGGGGCCTGGCTGCTAGGCACAGCAGCCCTGCACATATGGACGCCGTGTAAGGCAGACGCACGACGGCGGCTCCTAGCCGCAGCGTGCTCAACGCTTTGAGGCGGAGCGCGGACCATGGAGGGCAGGTGGCCGCGGGTCCCGAAGAGGGAGAGCCGCGACACAGAGACCTGCGGAGGACGCGCGAGCCTCCCTCCCAGCAGACCCTGAACGCCACCCGCCAAACACGAGGGCGCCTAGTCTCCGCTAGGTGGGAGGCTCGCGCCCAGCCAGAACTGAGTCACGGTACCAGGCCTGGCCCGCTGTGGCCTTGCCTTTGCAAGGCAGCAGCAGCGTTCGGAAATGCGGTGCCTCGTTCGACGCCCGAGCTCCGCACCTCCTACACAATATGTGTCTTTGCAGCCTCCACGACATGTTCGAGATGCTGGAAGGTCGGCGGCGGCGTCGGCTGAGCCGAGCCGTCGTCTCCCTCCCCAGCGAGCTCAGGGTGCTCCAGCGCGTGTCGCACGGCATCGCACCGAGCTCTGGGTAGCGCGCGGCCCCGCCTAGCCGCCCGCACCGTCGCCAGGAACAGATGTAGCGGCGTGGGCCTGCAGAGTGCGCCAGGCTGCTCGAGCTTCGCCCGGCTGGCCCTCGCGCGCGCAGGACAGTGGCACCAGGTACACCGCACTCCCCCTTTCCACCCCGCTCCGACTCCACCTCCTCCAGGCCGTGAGCCAGCATGCTGAGCTGGGGCGGGAGCGGCTCCCGCGGCTTTGCGCGAGCGGCAATCTCGGGTGCACTGGCGGTGGCCAGCTGCGCAGCTCGGCTGACGAAGTCAATTGGCTTCATGGCGTCCTGAAACTGCGCTCTTACGTTGGAGGTGATCACCTCCGACAGCTCGTGAGATGCGGCCCCAATCCGAGTGACACCATCGGCCCAAGCAGTTCCCAGGTAATCCAACACGCGCTGGGGCCCGTCAGCCCCTAGGACCGCCTGGCCCTCGAGGACCTGATCCAGGTTCCCGTGGGCAGGGGTCCAGACAAAACGGGGCCTCTCCGAGCGCCCTTCGTACAAAATAAAGACAGTTCGCCAGGTCGCGGCATGCTTGCCCGATCCTGCCGACAGAAGCTTGCTCCACTCGTTCCCTTCACGCACCGCGGACAGGTGACCCGACATAACAACAGGGCCCCAGGGAGCAACTCGCAGCGCTTGCAGGCTGGCCTCTCTCTCCGCTCGTGGCACGGTCTGGCGGCTACCAGCCAGCGGACCGGATCGAGCGCGGATGGGCCACCCTCCAGGCGAAATCTCGACCACCGACCAGCCGCATCTGGCCAGCTCAGGGAAGCTACTGTGGAGGCCCGAGCCATCAGTGTAGACACGGTACCCCCACTCCTTGTGCGTCGCTCCTCACTCGAACATTTCGCGGCGCTGGGGGATGGGCGGGACAGCAACGGACCGAAAGGGAAGGCCATACACCAACTCAACCGAATCGAAGTCGGGGGGGAGCCCACAGGCCTTCCCTTTCAGCCACGCTCGGTGCTCCAGGCAGTCGTCAGGCATGGGCGGAGCGGTGTCTGGGTCCACATCAGCGTCCCACAGAGCCTCACACTCCTAAAACTGGTGCCCAAAGGTGCCTGGCGCTGCCTTGCAGGAATCGCAAAGCGGGGATTCTGCGTCGCCGTGCTGGTGCTTCTCAGCTGGGGGCCAGAGAGCGCCTCCCAGCAGCGCACGGTACGTCGCTCTCCTGGCAGGGTCGCGAATCTTGCCCACTCCGACCCGCGGCCCTCGGCCCCAGATGACGTCGGAGCCCGTGGCCTCGGGCAGCCTGGTTTTATAAGCTGTTCACGCTGCGCACGGTGGATGCCTTCGCGCAGCAGCTGCCGCACATCGCTGGGGGCACTGGCACAAGGGCTCTCAGAGCATCCCCGTGGTCCGTCAAGACGTGGTGTGGCCCGATGAGGGCCCCGCCCACACGCCGAAGGGAAAGTCGGGGGTGGACAGAACCCTGACAGAACCCCCAGCAGTGACACGTCGATTCCGAGGCCCAAAAACCATCACTTCACTAATTTTGGGCCCCAGGGCCCACTGAGGCCACAGGGGCCCCATATTAGTGAAGTGATGTTTTTTTTTCCACGTAAGGACCCCGAAATTCATCACTTCACTAAACCGAGCCCAGGACGAAAGTCAGGGGCCGAATTGTTGCTGTGATGCAACATAGGTCTCGTAGATTAGGTGAATTGTCCGTTTTCGGTTCTCGAGAGGGCGCCGTGGTCGCTATTTTCCAGGCTTGCGCCCGCCAGGTTTGGGCTTCAGGTCGTTTTCACTAAACCACGTTTTGCTAAAGGGGGGTCTGTCCATCCCCGAGAAAGCCACACAGCCCCCACGGGCCCACGAACTCGCGACCAGTGCGGCCGCTCCGACTAAACTTTGTTAGCGGACTCCCAGGTTTTACGCAAACCGGCATCCGAGACCCTTCGCTCCCGAACCCAGCAACAGTATCGTTGCACGAGCGGGACTGTCGCGTCGGCCACGGCGTCGTATGACGGGTCTCGGTGCGTGCACAGGTAAGCAGTGGCGTGTGCTCGGCCTTTAGCTCCTAACATGCTCGCAGCGAGCGCTCGCAATGAAACTAGAGTAGCATCCGTCAACCCCGTAACTCCCGCTCCGTGTCCAGCGCTAGGCATCAATCCCGTTCTCCAGCGGTCTGCCACCTGCTGGTGGCCTGCAGCTCTGCGCCACAAGGCCGTTCGCCTAGGGGACTCCATCTTGCGGTACGCCCGCCTGCCATGAATGTCGTGTCCGAGGTTACGCATGTGCTTGCGACTGGCAAAACCTAGGGTGCGTGCCGTCACACTGAGCTTCTTAGGAGGAATAATAGGAGGAGGAGGAGGAGGAGGAGGAGGAGGAGGAGGAGGAGGAGGAGGAGGAGGAGGAGGAGGAGGAGGAGGAGGAGGAGGAGGAGGAGGAGGAGGAGGAGGAGGAGGAGGAGGCGGAGGAGGAGGAGGAGGAGGAGGAGGAGGAGGAGGAGGCACAGGACGAACAGGAACAGGAGGAGGACCCTGCGGCGGCCGCAGGATGCGCCGTGCCGCTCCTTCAGCTCCTCGGAGCCGTCGCCGCTGGAGGTCCCTGCGCCGCCCCCCCCCCCCCGCCCGGCCGGCCTGGCGGGCCCCTCTCGGGGGCCCTGCGCGCAGCGGCGAGGGCCTGCTCTGCTGGCACCTCTGCCCCGGGTTAGCAGGAATTCAGAGCCTCCTCCTCCTTCTCCTTCTCCACCTCCACCTCCTCCACCTCCTCCTCCTCCTCCTCGGCCAAGAGGCTGGCACCAACGCCAATATCGGCGTTGTGCCTCCGCCGAGGTCGGATTCGAGCGGGGCCAGGCGGGGGGTCTGAGGTGGCCCAGCACTGGCTCCGGCCAGCAGGAGGTGGGGCGGGGGGGCATGCTCGAGGTGCTGGGTTCGAGCATTTTTCGCTCTTCCCTCCTCTTCCAGTCTCCCAGGGCCGTTTTCGGGGCCCCAGGATCGTCGAAAACGGATCCAGGGTGGAGAAACATGTGCAAGATGAGCCCTAGGGGAGGTCCGGTGTTCCGATTCTGAGCGGATTTCCCTTCACCCCTCCTTTCGACTACTTTTTTCTTGGCCCAGCCAGCTCAGACTTCCTGGCCGCCTCCGGTCCAGGGTGAGATGCTCCCGTTCTCTGTGATGGTGGTGGGATTCGGGCTTCCTGCAGTCAGGTGAAGGAGGAGGAGGAGGAGAAGGAGGAGGAGGAGGAGGAGGAGGAGGAAGAATATTCTGCTAGCGAAATGTTTGACGGACTAGTTTGTTCGTGGCAGGGGCGCGGGCTACTCGCGGTTCCGATAGTATTTGGTAACACTTGCAGTATCATTCGTGCAGTTCTCGTGTGGAATCTTGGGGTAGACATATTACTCGTCGCATTCCTGGAGGACATGCTGAATTATGATTGGTTCGGGGGAACTATACTTACGAGTGCGATCCCGAACCATATTCTTCTCGCGAGTAATGTGCGAGTATTTTCTCAGCCCTAACGAGGCGTGTGAATTTACACACTGCGCGCCCCGCGCGGGACGACGCTCACAGTGAAAACGGAGTGTGCAAATTTCAGAGAACCAATTGAGCAGGTCCTGGAAGCACGTCCTGGGTAGATGTTTTGGTGGCCTCGTGGGTACCAACATGAATGCGCACGTGCATTCAATTAAACGTGTGTTCGCGCGTGCGGATGCGTTCAGCTTTTCACAATCATTCGCCTACATACGCACTTGTGGAACCACTGGATACCCGCGGGACCGCTGCGGGACAATCCAAGGGACAGTCCAACGGACAACCACAGAACAACCCACATGACAGCCCGCGGGGCAACCCATGGGACAGCCACGGGACAACTCACAGGACCCCTACATTCCCAGGACGACAGTTGTTCCTCTTGGGCCCAGACATGATGCCTTCAACTCTTGCGCCAGCGCGCATGGTATCAATTTCGGCGGGGCGCGTGAAGTTGGTGCGGAGCCGAATTGGGTTTGGATGTGTGTTGGCCGCCAATGCATCTTAAGAAATGCTGGGAGGCGCCAATCTTTGGCGCCAGTTGTTGGCGCCTCCGGTGCTTCGGCGAGCGAGGGGGGGAAGTGAGAAGGGGCGGGCCTTCTCAGAAGGCTCGGAAGTCCCCCGGCGTTCTGAGAAGTTTCCTAAGCCTTTCCGACAGACATGTAAAATTTCTCAGAAGGCGCGAGGGCGTCTGAGAAGTCCCTCTCCTTCTCGCTTCCCCCCTCGCTCGCCGCCGACGGCTGCGTGTGCCGGTGCGCTATAGCCTCCATGCTGGCCCCTCTGTCGCGCGACCCGAGGGGAGATTTAAGTCGGGTGTGTCCCTCTACAGGGCGAATATTCAGACATGGTTCCCACGAAAGAGTCCGGGGACGATTTTGTTGGCAATCGTCTGGCTATTTCGGGGTATGTTTTGGATCGTTTCAATTTTTCGCCCAAAATCCGCCTGCAGGGAGACGCGCCCGACCTACAGTCGGGGCCCTGAAGAAGGAGCCCTTTTCGTTGGGGAGGGGCTCCGCGTTCCTTCAGTGTTTCACAGCTTGCCTCAGGCCTTCCTTATGCTCTCGACAGGAAGTCGAAGGTTCACTTACGGAGAAAAGGGGCCTCGTTCCTGATTTAGGGCTCCTTAGATCAACGCCCCGACTGTAGGAGGAGATGTACAGAGACCACCGCCACCGAGGGCCCGCCCGTGGGGGGCCCGCCCGAGCGGCGTCCGGCGCTGGGGGGTGACGCGCGGGCGGGCCGCCGCCGGGGGGTGCGTCGGCAGCCCGCCTCGGTGGAGCCTCGGTGGAGTTGGTCGCTGTTTCTCGTCTGTTTCTCCTCTGAGAGAGTGAATCAGCACAGGTCTTACGTAAGTCTCCGACGAAGGCATCTATGCACCACCACCGTGCCAGGCCAGGGCCATCCTGGGCCCCAGGATGGCGTATAGACTCTCCTGGCTCGGCCAGGAGGGCGTATACACCATCCTAGGGCCCAGGATGGCCCTGGTCTGGCACGGTGGTGGTATATAGATGCTTTCTGCGTAAAGTCGGGCGCGCCCCTCTACAGGAGGAATACTCAAAAATACTCAAAAACAGTCTGGGTTCATTTTTCAAGTAGTGTTGATTATTTTTTGGGCATTCTTGTTATTCGTCCAAAATCCGCCTGTAGGGGGGCACGCCCGACCTAACACGAGTCTCGGGGCCCCCCTGAACGGGGTGGTGACCACACCGTGTGGTGAGTCGGTGGGGTTTGGGGTCACCGCACGGTTCTGGGACTCGAGTCCCTCTCCGAGGACGTCTTCAGCGAGAGGGGCCTCCAGGGTCCCAAGACCGTGTGGTGACGGACCGTGCGGTGAGGTCTCTTGGGGTTCCGAGGTCACCGCACGGTCTGTCACCGCACCGTTTCGGGACTCCCAAGAGTCGGTTGGCCTGGGGAGGAGTTAGATACACACGCGTGGCCAGGTGTCGTTCCGGCGCTCGGCTCTTCCGTGTCCGTGAAGGCGGGGTTGATGCGCGCTGTACACTTCCGGTTGTTCCACACGTGAAGCCGGCCAAGCGTGCTTTCAGTTTCTTGGTGGTACACGGTGCCTTTTCGTCTTATTCACCATCCTGCTCCTCCCTCCTCCCCACCCTCATTTCCCCCCTCCCTCCCCCCATTGTCCTCGCATTTCTCGTCGTAGTCCTCCCCTGACATTCATCCTACTCCTCATCCTCCCTCCTCCGCCCTCTTCCTTCCTCCTCTTTCTCCTCCTCCCTCCTGCTCCTGCTCCTGCTGCTGCTGCTGCTTCTCCTCTTCCTCCTTCTCCCCTCACTTCCTGAGGCCAGGCGAAAGAAGATGCTGTGGAGGGCGAAGAGCCGCGGCTGGCTCGAGATCGACGTCCTGATGGGCACCTTTGCCGCCAAGCGCCTGCCCGGATTTGACGAGCAGAAGCTGGACCTGTTCGAGGAGGCGAAAGGAGGAGGAGGAGGAGGAGGAGGAGGAGGAGGAGGAGCAGGAAGAGGAGGAGGAGGAGGAGGAGGCGGAGCAGGAGGAGGAGGAGGAGGAGGAGGATGAAGATGGAGAGGGAGAGAAGGAGGAGGAGGAGGAGGAGGCGGAGGAGGTGGAGGAGGAGGAGGAGGAGGAGGAGGAGGACGAAAACTAAGAATAATAAGAAGAGGAGGAAGAGGAGGGGAGAGAGGAGGAGGAGGAGGAAGAGGGAGGGAGGGAGGGAGGGAGGGCGGGAGGGAGGGACGGCGGGGGGGAGGGATGGATGGATGGAGGGAGGAGTGGAGGGAGGGAGGAACAACGGGGAGAGGGGAGGGGGGGGGGAGTGAGGGAGGGAGGGCGAGGGGGGAGATGGAGGCAAGAGAGGGGGAGTGGGAGGGAGAGATGAAAGGAGGGGGAGAGGGAGGGAGGGATGGGGGGGGAGGGAGGGAAGGGGGGGGAGGGAGGGAAGGGGGGGCGGGGGGGTGAAAGGAGGGCGGGGGGAGGGACGGCGGGTGGAAGGGAGGGAGGGAGGGTGGAGGGGATGGAACGGGGGGGGGAGGTGGTCTGGTGAGGGAGGGGACGGGGGAAGGGGAGAGGGAGGGGGGGAGGGAGGGAGGGGGCGAGGGAGGGAGGAGGGAAGGAGGGAGGGAGAGAGAGGGAGGAGGAACGGAGGGAGGGGGAGGGAGGAGGGAGGGGTGCGGTAGAAGGATGGGAACGGGAGGAGAGGAGGAGGCGGAGGAGGAGGGGGGTGGGTGGAGGGAGGAGGGAGGAGGGGGGGAGGGGGAGTGAGAGGGAGGAGGAGGGAGGAGGGGAGGAGGGGGAGGGAGGGAGGGAGGAGGAGGAGGAAGGAGGAGGAGGAGGAGGAGGAGAGAGGAGGGAGGAGGAGGAGGGAGGGGGAGGAGGGAGGAGGAGGAGAGAGGAGGGAGGATGGGGAGGAGAGGAGCGGAGGCGGAAGGAGGAGGTGAAGGAGGAGGAGGATGAAGAGGAGGAGGGGGAGGAGGAGGAGGCGGAGGCGAAGGCGGAGGCGGAGGCGAGGGAGAGGAGGAGGAGGAGGGGGAGGAGGAGGAGGTGGAGGAGGAGGAGGAGGAGGAGGAGGGGCGGGGGAGGGGGAGGAAGAGAGGAGGAGAATGAGGAGGAGGAGGAGGAGGAGGAGGAGGAGGAGGAGGAGGAGGAGGAAGGATGAGGATGATAATAAGGACGACGATGATGATGATGATGATGATGATGATGATGATGATGATGCTGCTGTTGCTGATGATGCTAATGCTGATGGCGATGATGTCAATGATGACGTTGATGACGATGCGTATGATTATGATGATGCTGATGCTGATATTGATGATGCTGCTGCTGCTGATGATGCTGATGATGACGACGACGATGATGATGCGGATGCTGATGTTGCTGATGATGATGAGGATGATGCTGATGATTAGGATGCGGATGATGCTGTTGATGGTGATGATGCTGATGTTGTTGTTGATGGTGATGCTGATGTTGATGATGATGATGCTGATGCTGATGCTGGTGATGAGTATGATGATTATGGTGATGATGATACTGGTGATGCTGCTGATGCTGATAATGATGATCATGATGTTGCAACTGCTGGTGATGAGGATGCTGATGATGACGACGACGAGTATGATGATGATGCTGATGATGATGCTGGCGATGATGATGCTGATGATGCTGATGATGCGGATGATGATGACGATGACGATGATGATGCTGATGTTGATGATGATGCTGATGATGATGATGATGTTGATGCTTACGATGGTAATGGTGCTGCTGATGATGATGATGCTGATTATGGTTATGATTATTATGACGATGATGATGCTGCTGATGTTGATTATGCTGATGATGCTGATGATGATGATGATGATGGTGGTGGTGGTGATGATGATGATGAGGATGACGATGCTAATGCTGCTGCTGATGATGATGATGCTGATGATGATGATGCTGATGATGAGGATGATGATGATAATGGTGGTGATGATGATGAGGATGATGATGGTGGTGATGATGATGATGATGGAGCTGATACCGATGATGATGATGATGATGATGATGATGATGATGATGATGATGATGATGATGATGATGATGATGATGATGATGCTGATGTGATGATGATGATGATGATGCTGATGATTGATGCTGATGATGATGATGATTGATGCTGTTGATGATGATGATGATGATGATGATGCTGATGATGATGATAGATGATTTATGATGTGATGCTGATGCTGATCTGATGCTGATGATGCTGATGTGATGTTGATCGATGGTGATGAGGAGGAGGATGATGATGATGATGCTGATGATGATGAGAGTGATGATGATGATGATGATGATGATGATGATGATGATGATGATGGGAGGGAGGAGGAGGAGGAGGAGGAGGAGGAGGAGGAGGAGGAAGGAGGAGGAGGAGGAGGAGGAGGAGGAGGAGGAGGAGGAGGAACGGGGCGCTCGCTCCGCGATGCGTGGCACCTCGAGGCACTGGATGGGGGGAGCCCGCGGCGAAGCGCGCACCCTGAGGTCCGACGGGGGCCCTCGGAAGGTACGGTAGGTTCGCGTCGTGTCGACCGGCGGCGACCCCGACGCCGGCGTTCAAGGTTGAACGCCGGCGGAGGCCCAGAATCGGTCGATGTTGAACGATCGGACGTTGCGGAAATGGCCGATCGTTCAAGGTTGAACGATCCTCGCGGCGTCAGGGACCAACGCCCAGGTCGACACGGCACGAACCTGCCGTACGCAGGATCCCCGAGGATGCCCCCAGGACCTGGTACAGTGAGCGGCTTGAATAAGGAACACTTACTTTTCAAAAGGGGTTCGGTCGTTCCTTAGGCTTGCATGCGTTATTTACACAGTTCCTTATGCGTTATTTGTTATTTATCGTTCCTTATGCGTTATTCCTGGGGATAAAAAAGGGGCTTCGTTCCTTATTTATCGTTCCTTAGGTCAGGCCGATGACTGTAGGAAGTCCTCAGAACCCTCGAGGGATTCCTGGGGATCCCGTCGGAAATTCCGTAGGATTCCCTGTGGCGCCCGTCAGGAATCCGGAGGGCATCGTCAGGACGGTTCAGGGGACTCCGAGGACTGCCGAGGAAGCTGCAAGGACCCCCCGTCGGATTCTCGAAGCAGTCCTTGGGGAGCCCTCACGGTTCTGTGGACATGTTTGGGTGTTCTTTGTGGGAGTCTTCCGAGATCTTGAGGAACTCCTACGGGTTCCGTACGGCATGTTTCAGAGGATTCTTGACGAATCTCTGGGATGCCATATTGCATCCTGTGGGTTCTCGGGGGAATCCCCACGATTTTGGAAGACACTCTTAGGATCTTTGAGGACACCGTCAAGCACCCATTGGGATTGCCGTGGGGATCGCCCAAACATCGTTTGCATTCCCGAGGGTGCCCTCGGCAGGGCCCAGGAGCATGTCCCCAGGGGGTGCTCCGCCCGCTGGGCAGCGGGGCCCCCGCCGGGCAGAACCGCCAAGGGAGGCGCTGGAGCCTCATGTCTCGCCCTTGTCTGGGGGAGCCTCCTTCTGAGGACTGCGAAGGCCTCGCAGCCAGTGCCGCCGACCATGAACGGGGACGACGACGACGACGACGACGGCGGCGGCGGCGGCGACAACGATCTTTGTGTGCAGGAGCCTCCTTCAGGGGATTTTCTCAGGCCGCGGAGGCCGAATCGAAGGAGGCGCAGCACGACTCCCCGTGTCGCTTCGAAGCGGGCGAGCGCAACCTCGCCAGCCCCGTCGTTCCCGTGGCGCTCCGCGGAATGCTCCGGCCAGCGGTCGATCGCGCCTGACGTTAGAGTCGGGATCTTTCGCTCAGCTTGTCGCTTCGCTCCGCTGGTTCTGGCCCACCACGCTTCGGCGCGGCACGCTGGACTCTTCCAGTCCCCGAGCGTCAGCATCCCGTGGTTTTCCCTGCCTCCCGCCCCCCGGAGCAGAGCGACACGACGTCAGCTTGCACGGCACAGCATGTCACCGGGGCCGCCGCAGCGACACGCTAAGCAAATGGTCCCGACTGCAGTCGATGCGACTCGCTGCAGAAAGAGGGGTAAGGGAGAGAGGGAGGGAGGGATGGAGGAGGAGGAGGACCAGCCGCAGCAGCAACATGGCGAGGAGAAAAATGGGGGCAGGTGCTCGAGCTGGAGAACCCCGACCTCTTCAAGTGGTTCACGGGCCAGACTCCCGTTCCCAGCGAGCTGCTGGACAGCAACCCCGTCATGGCCGAGATGATGGAGTTCGTTAAGCAGGTCCCTGCCTCCTCTCGAAGAGAACACAATAGGAACATAAACTTCCGGAGCTCCGCGCGGATTTCTCGGATCGGCGCTGGACCCCCTGGGTGGCGCTTCCGGCGCCGCCCCTGGCTCGGGCCGCGCTTCGTAGAAGGGGTTTCTAACGCCGATCCAGGGAATCCGCACGAATCTCCCAAAGTTTGTGTTTCTGCCGTGCTCTGTGTCTTCCCTCCCCCACTCCCATCACCCCAGCTCCTCCAGTATCCCTCGACCCCTCCCGCCTCCCTTCTCACCCATCTCATCATTCCCACGTTCATCCTCATCATCCTCCTCATCATCCTCGTCATCCTCATCGTCATCATCCACATGCTCATGCTCCAGACGCTCAAGTTGACGCTTGCCTCGTCTCCGTGGGGAGGTCCAAATCGTCTTCTCGTCATCTCCCTCCTTCCCTCCCTCCCCTCCTTCATCCTTCCTTCCCTCCCTCCGCCTGCCTGTCCCCCATCTCTCCTCCGTCCCCGTCCTCCCCCTCCCTGCACCCTCCTCCTCCTCCTCCTCCTCCTCCTCTTCCTCCTCCTCCTCCTCCCCCTCCTCCTCCTCCTCCTTCTCCTCCTCTCCTCCCCGTCCGCCTCCGCCTCCTCCGCCTCCGCCTCCGCGTCCTTCTTCTCCTCCTCCTCCTCGTCCTCCTCCTCCTCCTCCTCCTCTTCCTCCCTCTCCATCCCCCTCCCTCCTCCTTCCCTCCCCCCCTTCCTCCCTCCCCTCGGCTTGTAATCAGCACCGTAGTCCGGAACATGTCCCCTGCCCACTGCCCCCCATAGCCCCCCGCAGCCCTCCCTCCGTGCAGGACCACAAGACAGGGCTCAACGACCGGGGCATGTGAGCGCCGCCCGCCGGGCGACCTCCCCCCCTCCCCGATGGTCCCCTGGGCCGCGGCGCCTCCTCTCGTTCGGAAGCCAAGCATGGGAGCGCTGCATGCCTTCGCAGCGTCATCGTTAGAGCGCACCAGCGCGCGTTCGTCGGCGGCGAGCGAGGGGGGGGGAAATGCGAGGGATCGGGCCCCGGCAGAAGGCTGCGGGGCTTCTCAGAAACCCTCGCGCCTTCTGAGAGGTTTGTTGTGTCTTCGGGGAAGGCTTATCGGGGGTGGACAGAACCCCCAATAGTGACACGTCTATTAGTGAATTGTCCGTTTTCGGTTCTCGAGAGGGCGCCGTGGCCGTTATTTTCCACGCTTGCGCCCGCCAGGTTTGGGCCTCAGGTCGTTTTCACTAAACCACGTTTTGCTAAAGGGGGGTCTGTCCATCCCCGAGCTTAGGACACTTCTCAGAAGGCCGGGGGACTTCCGAGCGTTCCTGAGAAGGCCCGCCCCTTCTCACTTTCCCCCGGGCTCGCCGCCGAGTCAGCGTCTGGTACTCGGTTGGAAAGCGCCGATTTGGCATCGATGCCGCGTCGATGCCGCGTCGATGTCGCGCCGATTTCGCGCCGCTGTCGCGTCGACTTCGCGGCGATTCGCGCCGGACTTGCGCCAGCATGGGAGGTAGGGGGCCTCATGCGAACCGGATCCTGCCCCCCAGTGATTTCTGAGGGGGAGGGTGGGGTTTACTTCAGAAATCGTGGGGGTAGGGGGAAAGTTTGCATGTGGCCCCCTATCACCGACCGCGTTCCACTACTCGCAAGGTGCCTACTCGCAAACGTCCCAAAGCATATGTTTGCTTCGATGAGATTTACTGTAGATCCACCGCGGCGTATCCAGGCCATTTGCGAGTAGTTACTTTGCGAGTAGTGGAACGCGCTCGTCTACCCTATGAGGCTCCCATGAGCTGCCGCCGAACTCTCGCCGCACCAGTGCCCGACAGGGCCCGGCCCCCCCCGCTCCCTTTTGATTTTCTCGCCGCCGGCCGCGGCGGCGGCGCGCGTCCGGGCCGCCAAGAGGTCGAGTAGGAGATCGACTGCCGAATTTATCTATCGGGGATGGCCAAGAGGAAGAGGGGGGTGATGACTTGGGGGGGTGGATATCTTGGCGTGGGCCATGATATTTCCTCAGATTGCATGGCGCCTCTTCTTATTTCACTGCGTCCCTGGCCCTCCTTGAGGCCGCGCGCATGCCGCCGGCCATGCTTTGCGCCCCCCCTCTTTGACGCCCCCCTCTTGGCCGCCCCCGAATCTACCCTAGAACTGTTGTGTTCTCCGTCGGGTTATTAATCGGAACTAGCTTGTTCCGTAGAGTTGCGAAGTTCCGTTACTTCTCGACGAACCAATGTTATTTTTTGGGTGTGGATCAATTCTGCAGCCGATCTTCTACTCGAGGAGAGAGAGGACCGCAGCTGCCCCGCCGCCTCCCCGCGGGCTGCCGCCCCGTCGGCGTCGGCGTCGTCCCCAGAGGCTCGTCGCCGTCGGTTGCGCGAGCTGTAGAGGGGCGGAGGTCAATGCAAGCGTTACGTCGGGCCTGCTCCTCTACAGGAGGAACATCCAAAAATAGTCAAAAATAGTCTTGGGACGATGTTTGAAATATTCTGAAATATTTTGGAATATTTTGGAGTGTGTGTGTGTGTTTATATATATATATATGTGTGTGTGTGTGTGCTTCAAAGCAAAACACATGTTTTTCGTCCAAAGTCCGCCTGTAGGGGGACATGCCCGGCCTACTGAAACAGGGGGGGTCAGCCAGAGCGCCAGATCTTGCGTGCTGGTGGTCTCCAAATCCCGGACGGCGAGGCGGCAGGAGCTCCTGGAAGGCCCCTCGAGGAAGCTCTGGAAGCTCTGGGGAGGAGCGCCTCGGAGGTTGATACGGTTCGTGAGAGGGCGTCGCGGCCGTCATTTTTGCGGGTCCAGGTCCGTCGGCTTCGGTCCAAGGCCATTTGCATTAGAGGGTGGTTTACTCAACGGAGGATTGTCACCGCCGAGCTTCTGGGAAGCTTGACGGCACAGGTATTCGGGAAACAGTTCGAGAAGGCCTGCCGGAACACGCTGCGATTTCTGGCAGGTCGCCGCGGGGAGCTCTGCCAGAAGCAGGAACGAGCTCCGGGGCTGCCCTGCGGTGCCAGCCTCTAATCTCTAATTTGGAATTTCTTAGCTCTCAGAGATCTATCTGGCAATTGATCTGGGTTAGTGTGCAGGGTCTTTCAGGATTCTGCAAGGCCCGTCTGACCCGGGTTGCAATGACCGGGGTCATCAGGGGGGAGTCGGGGGCGGAAAAGAGGGGGGTGATGACTAGGGGGGGGGTGGATATCATGGCGTGGGCCATGATATCTCCACAGATTTCGTGGCGCCTCTTCTTATTTCATTGCGTCCCTGGCCCCCCCGCTGGGCCGCGCACATGCCGCCGGCCATGATTTGCACCCCCCCCTCTTGGACACCCCCCTCTTGGCCGCTCCCGAGGGAGGGCGGGGAAGAGGGAGGAGGGAGGGGGTGGGGATCTGGGCCTCCCGGATGGGGTCCGAGCAGAGGGGGTCGGGGGACAGCGCCGCATCGCCGATGCATCGGCGATGCGGCTCGATGTGGAGCCCGAGGTTCTCCACGCAAACTTCGCCGATATACCGCCGACGTCGCCGATCCATCGTCGATGCATCGGGACTGCATCGTCGAGGCCGCGGCGCGATTCTCCGGGCCTCATCGAGGAAGACTCGCGGAATCGGGTAGCACCAGCGTGTGACCAGAGGGCAGGCCCCCCCGAAGACTTCCCGGGTTGTGCTCTTCTCGGGCCGTCCCTGGGCCCTCACCGACCTTACCTGAGACTCGCGCCATCGCCCGTCGGCGATTGGGATCCCGTGATGCGAGTCGGAGGAGTAGTAGGAGGTTCCCCTACTACTCCTCCGATAGGGGAGAGGAAGGACATGAGGAGGAGGAGGAGTAGGAGGAGGAGGAGGAGGAGGAGGAGGAGGAGGAGGAGGAGAAGAGGAGGAAAAGAGAGAGGCGGATGAGGGAGAGAGAGGAGGAGGAGGAGGAGGAGAGGAGGAGGAGAGGAGGAGGAGGCGGAGGCGGAGTCGGAGGCGGAGGCATCAGGAAGAGGATGAGGAGGAGGAGGGGAGCGGAGGAGGAGGCGGAGGAAGGAGCGGGAGGAGGAGGAGAGGCGGAGGCGGAGGCGGAGGCGGAGGCGGAGGCGAGGCGGAGGCGGAGCGGAGGAGGAAGGAGGCAGGAGGAGGCGGAGGGAGGAGGAGGAGGAGGAGAGGAGGAGGAGGAGGAGGAGGAGGAGGAGGAGGAGGAGGGGGAGGATATAGAGAGGAGGAAGGGGAGGGGGCTTCGGCGGGGGCGAGGGGAACTTCGCACCGCGTGACGCGCATCCCCCCCGCCCAGCCCGAGGCTCCCTCGCGACTCGCGCGGGGCCGACGCTCCGGGCGGCCCGCCCGCGCGATCCCCAGCGGTCTGGGCCCGCCCGCCCGGCCCGCCCGGTGGGGTCCGCCCGACCGACCCCCGCCCGGCTGGCCCCGCCCATCGGCTTCCCGCTCCCTCACCGCCCCAACCTGGGAAGATCGAGAAAACACGCAGGGAACCCGGCCGGTCCCGCCACTGGGCTTCCTGCTCCCTCGCTCACCGCCCACCACATGCAATGTATTCAGAAATCGCGCCTTCGACGCTCAGGAAACACGCTGCGCCAAGGACGCCGTCACAATTTACGTAGGAACCGCGCTCTCGCCATACTCAGGCATCCCGCTTGAATGTCCCACCCGCCCGGCCCGCCCGTCAGGGGATCGCCCGCCCGTCGTGGGCTCCCGCCCGAGACTTCCTTCAGGCACGGCGCTTTCGCCTAGGACTTCCTCGAACGTTCACGCTCTTACCTTCCTGCTCCTCCTCCCTCCTCCCTCCTCCCTCCTCCCTCCTCTCGTCCCTTCTCTCCCCACTCTCTTCCCTCATCCTTATGCCGCTCTGCCCTATCCCCTCTCCCTCCTTTCCCTCCTCCCTTCTCCCTCACCTCTCCTGCTTTCCCCCTCCTTTTTTTTTTTTTTTTGTTTTTTCTCTCTCTCTCTCTCTCCCCTCTCTCTCGACCTCTCTAATATGTTTTGCGTTTTTTTTTTTTTTTTTGTTTTTTTTGTTTTTTTTTTTTTTTTTTGTTTTTTTTGTTTTTTCTCTCTCTCTCTCTCTGCCTCTAATCAACCGCCCACCTCTTCGCTCCTTCTTTCCTGGCGGTTGCCCTCTTCCTTCGTCTCTCCCCCTCCATTCCTCCCGCTCTCCCTCGTTCTCCCCCTCCTCTTTTTGCAGGGCCCACACCAATTCCAATGGCTGGCACATGTACGCCCTCGAAGGATTGTCCGCCCGTTCAGGTTTGCCCGCCTGTCTAAGCCCGCCGCCCCCCGCAAAGAGAAACAATCCCCCCAAATGGGGTGTTACCGAAGACAAGAATGACGGGTATCGAGCGTATCGGGGAATCTTTTTGAATGGCACACGGTCAAGTAAGAGCGAACAGTCTTACAATGATCGTTGTTATTGTTGTTGTTGTTGTTGTTGTTGTTGTTGTTGTTGTTGTTGTTGTTGTTGTTGTTGTTGTTGTTGTTGTTGTTGTTGTTGTTGTTGTTGTTGTTGTTGTTGTTGTTTTGTGTTGTTGTTGTTGTTGTTGTTGTTGTTGTTGTTGTTGTTGTTGTTGTTGTTGTTGTTGTTGTTGTTGTTGTTGTTGTTTGTTGTTGTTGTTGTTGTTGTTGTTGTTGTTGTTGTTGTTGTTGTTGTTGTTGTTGTTGTATTGTTGTTGTTGTTGTTGTTGTTGTTGTTGTTGTTGTTGTTGTTGGTGGTTGTTGCTGTTGTGTGCTGTTGCTGCTGCTGCTGCTGCTGCTGGCTGTTGTGTTGTTGTTGTTGTTGCTGCTGTTGCTGCTGCTGCTGCTGCTGCTGTTGTTGTTGTTGTTGTTGTTGTGGTTGTTGTTGAACTCTCATTCTTGAAGAATAATTATTGTTGATCCCCCCCCACCGGTGCACATTTATTTTTTTCGATTGAAGTGCCACCCCCGGGGCTCGCACCTTGTTTTTTCTAAAGGAAAGTCTTCCTGCTCAAACTGTGCCCTTGCCCCCCGGGCTACAACAACAACGGCTCCCGCTTGAGACTTCTTCGATTTTTACTCAGGACCCCCGCTCCCGCCTGAGACTTCCACGCAATTTACTCGGGGGGGGGAGAAAGCGCTCTACGTCTGAGACTTCCTCCAATGTAATCAAGACCCCGTTCCCGCCTGAACTTCCGTCAATATTACGTGGGAACGGCGGCTTCCCGCCTGAGACTTCTCGATTTTTACTCAGGGAACCTCCCCCCCCGCCCTGCTTGAACATTTCCGCGCAAGTTGACTCCGAGAACGGCGCTCCCGGGCCGAGACTTCCTCGCAATTTTTGAGACCAAACCCCCGCTCCCGCCTGAGACTCCGTGCAATTTGCTCAGGAACGGCGCTCCCGCTTAGATCTCCTCGCAACTTAGTCAGGGCCCCCACCCGCTTCGCTTGAGATTTTCCTCACAATGTACTCAGGACTGCGCTCTCGCGTGCGACGTCCTCTCAAATTATTCTGGAATTGCGTTTCGGCGCTCAGGAACCACGCACGCGCCAAGGACGCCTTCACAACGTGGTATCTTCCCTCTTCCTTCGTCCTTCCCCCTCCCCTTCACTCTCCCTCGTTCTTCCCCTCCTCCTCTTGCAGGGCCCGCGCCAATTCCAATGGCGGGCAGAGAGATGTACGCCCCCGAAGGATTCTCCGCCTGTTCCGGTTTGCCCGTACGTTTAAGCCCGCCGGCCCCAGCAAAGAGAAATAATTCCCCCGAAAGGGGTGTGATCGAAGACGAAGAGGGCGGGCATCGAGGGTGTAGGGTATACGTGTTGAATGACTCGCGGGCAAGTAAGAGCGTACAGCCTTAAAATGGTTGTTGTTGTTGTTGTTGTTGTTGTTGTTGTTGTTGTAGGTGTTGTTGCTGTTGTTGTTGTTGTTGTTGTTGTTGTTGTTGTTGTTGTTGTTGTTGTTGTTCTTGTTGTTCTTGTTGTTGTTGTTGTTGAACATTATTACTTCTAAAGAATAATTATTGTTGGGACCCCTGGTGCGCGACCCCCCTCCAAAACCTAGGCCGCAGCTACATTTTCATCATTTTTTAGCGAAAGCTTCAGAAAAGTGAATTATTACCGGATCCGGTTGTTTTGTTGTACTCCGTTTTCCCTTGCAAAAAACACTATAAAATGAAAATTCTTGTTCTTACTTGATCAAATTGCAAGAATCCCTTGCAAAAAATAAGGTAAAGTGGACATTCGTGCGCGCAAGACGAAATCCTTCCAAAACCTTAGGTTTCGTAGCGATTTTAACATAAAAACATCAAAAACCCAATGGTTTTTTAAGAAAAAATTGTCAAAATGTTCTTCCGCGCGCTCTTGCGGATTCGTAGGAAAACCAACACTTTTTAAACAATTCTGTCAAACGGGCTTTTGCGAGCAACTTTTTCGAACTTCTGCGACAACGTTTGCGCACCTGCCAGGGCCATCATCCCTGTCAAATAATACCATGCGGGACATATTCGTTTT